AACTGCTTCAGGGACCCAGACCAATGCAAATCGGGGTCCCCGGTTTCACCCCTGCTTGGGAAATGGACTGCCAGGGTTCAGACCGACAGGGAGCCAACTGTTTAGTGTTCATAATCTCCGACCGACTTAGACACCTGCATTGTCTCAGGGGGTATTCAAGCGATGCAAAGATACCTCTGGTTAATATCTCAGGTCATGATCCTACGGGCCACGATTCTTTATGCGACCTACAGCCAGTCCTTCTGACGCTTACGCTCTCTAACTGGGCCTTTGGTAGTCGGTTCCGTTAGGCCACTCAGGCCCTCCTTCGGGGGCCAGAGAACAATGGTCTCGGCCGGCTCTGGGCCCCTTGCCAGCACAGGGCCCCCTGTTAGGCGCTGTGGCCCCTGACAGATACAGGGACCCTGGTCAGTTTGAACCACTGGTTCCGGCTCTGTGGCTGATTGGGAAGTGACCCCTCAGGCCCATACCGATACGGAGCCGACTATGCAATGCTGGTGGCGTCTGACCGACATCTAGGCCCATATCGATTCAGAGTGTCGGCGCAAAATCTTCAAAATCAAAATCAAAATCTCTTTATCGGCGCAAAGGGCCTTCCGACTGACATTCGAGGGTCCGTCCCTGCAGACTGGGTCCCCCGAATAAGGCTCCAAGCGGCCTTTTGTGTCCTTAGACCCTCCAATCGGGCCCCTGATCTTCGGATTCGGTGGTCCTCCAGGCTCTTCGGGCTTTTTCTTACACTGCCTCTTGCCAGGTTGGGGCCCCTTGACAGCACAGGACACTCCGTCAGGCGCTGTGGTGGCCCAACCAGTGAAAATTGCTGGCTCCGGTCCCTACTTAGGAAATGATCCCTCAGGTTCATGCCGCCACGTAGCCGACTGGCGGTGTCTGACCGACATATGGGCCCTCATCGGCTCGGGGATGCTGTTCAGCGCGCAGGGACCCATAGCTGGCATTGGAGTCCTCGGCTCGGCGGACCGGAGCCCCTGAATGCGACCACCAGCCGGCCTTCCGGGCCCTCAAATCGTGCCTTAAATCGTAGGTCCCGAGGAGTCTTTCGGCCACCCGGGACGTACGATACGATAAAGGGGCTCATACCCTCCGTACCCCCTCTTCCTGTGCCACTCACAGAGAGGGATGAAGTGTCATGGGATAGGCGTGTCATAGCTGTGCATGAAGCACAAAGATTCTACCGCAGCTTGAGTGAACTGGCTAAAAAAAACACAGATGACGTTAAACCATTTGCATTGGTAATCAACGTTCAGCAACAGAGTAACTGTTCAGTCATCACAGTAGCATATGTTGGCGTGTGATTCAACGCAAGTCGCTCAGCTAGCTCAACGCCTTCTGATCTACAAGGTCTTTTGTAGTCGATGGGGAAGTGGGAAAAATGTGTATGTTTAAAAGACCGGCTACCAATGTAACTGGCCGTGGTTTAAATAATGAGAGAGTTGTCTGTCAAGGAGCACATGCTGCTGGCCATGTACACTTCAACAAGCATGCTTTCAATCCTTATCCTTCCTTATTCTTATCTTCAATTGTCTTTCCATTACAATGAATCCTTCCATCGCAACCAAATTTGCCAAATTACCCCAAGTTGGTTGCCTCACGGGCTGCCTAAAGACCGAAGATTCTACTCAGAAGACAGAGGTAGAAGTCCAAAGACTCGAGTCATCTCACCTCGCAGGTGCGGAGCCATTTTCTTCACCTCGCAGGCACTGATTCATTACCTCACCTCGCAGGTCTGGAGCCATTTCATCGCCTCGCAAGTCCGGAATCATTTATGACCTCGCAGGTTCGGAGTCATCTCATCACTCGGCAGGTCCGGAGTCATCTCTTCACCTCACGGGTTCTGAGTCACACCCGTCAGTCATCAGAGGCACTGTGCCGTCTGTTAATGGTGGGGGGGGGGGGGGGAGGGGGAATCCGCAGGGATCACTCACAATTGCAGTGTCCTCGCATTCAACGTGTCCCTCGCAACGACAGGCCATGCCAGAAACAAATGCCTCACAGCCAGCTTCTGCGGTTGGTGGGTCAAGCTCCCTCTGTATTGAGCAGAAGGTGCTTGGGCTTCAAGGCTGAGAGGAATGCACATCCCGGGTCACACGAACCATCCCTGCTCACTGCGATGCGCGTGCGTTCAGGTCAGTGACGTCACGCGTCCGGGTCAGCTCGATGGGTGGTCCTCTCTTCACTGACCCGCCAGTCTGGAGGGCCCGAGCCTGTCTGGGGCTTGTAATCAAGGAAGCATCAGCCAGTCAAAACCCGCCGATTTGGGCGGCTTTGATGGTAAGGTTTTGATAGATTTATCCCCAAGCAATTTCCAAACCTTATGTTTGGAAGATGAGCGCGTGAATCTGCATCGGAAATGAAAATTATTGTATTCTAAGTAAGCTGCGTTGCTTTAATCCACCCTTTACAAATATGAGGGGTGAGCAGACAGCAATTAAGCAGAAGGTGAGGGGATTGACAGGCTAGCTATAAAACAAACAAATGAGGGAAAGATCTGAGTGGTTTGAATTCAAAAACACGTGCCATTGAATTAAACACAAGCGTCTGTTTGCTGCCTGCTCCAAAGAGCTTGTTTGCTGTTTGCCTGACTTTTTTTACCTAATGCATCCAACCAGCTCCTTGCCATAATTCGGATAAGGGCACTAAAATTGGCTCAAAATCATGTGCTACATAACGTAATAGGTGGGATACGTAACGATTCATTGTAGTAAATAGCAGAGGCCCGTTGCAATTTGTGTGTTGGATCCGTAAACTGTGCGCGTAATTTATGTCCCGGTCTTTCTTGTCCTATGTACTCAGTCAAGAATTATTAGTCGCATTGTTTTTCTATGTGTGAAATGGTTCATCGATGTGCGTCTGATGCTGGAGACACGCCTCAAAATACTACTGGTTGCATCGAATATATGGTATTTGGAAGCTCGTTTTGGGTGCCTTCGAATTGCGTGAAAAGAAAGTGTCTTAACTGTCCAAACCGTGGTCAGGGACTTGAAACAAGCACACATGCCCGGTCGAAAAAACACCGATACTCATAAATTTTAGTCGCCAAAAATTCGGTTTTCGGTAGGCATTATTGTTCCAATGCCCTGATTCAACATAAGACGTATTCCATGCGGTTTTGAAAGCCGGTCATCCCATTCATTTATGTTTGGAACCATTCAATTGGGCCGTGCTCATACTGTTCATGATCTCACTCTTCGGACGTCCGATCGACGTCACTCTAAGTCACTTTAATGCCCGTTTGTGAAGCAAAAGCTTCGCAAGCGTTCTTCGGCAGCGTCCGCTGAAGCGCACGATGGCTCTTCCCACTTTCCGTATCTTCGGCAGCGTCCGCTGAAGCGCGCGATGGCTCTTCCCACTTTCCGTATCTTCGGCAGCGTCCGCTGAAGCGCGCGATGGCTCTTCCCACTTTCCGTATCTTCGGCAGCGTCCGCTGAAGCGCGCGATGGCTCTTCCCACTTTCCGTATCTTCGGCAGCGTCCGCTGAAGCGCGCGATGGCTCTTCCCACTTTCCGTATCTTTGGCAGCGTCCGCTGAAGCGCGCGATGGCTCTTCCCACTTTCCGTATCTTCGGCAGCGTCCGCTGAAGCGCGCGATGGCTCTCCCCACTTTCCGTATCTCATGGCAGCCGCAGGATCGTCCCCTTCCGTATCAGCCCTGGTCAGATCACCGGCTCCTCGTGCATTCCGTCTGAAGACCGTGGGGTGGTCAGGTGACCGGCGCACTTCGCTGATGCCGTGACACAGCTTGTCACGGTGGGCCGTGGCACGATGGCATTGCGTGCTGATTGCATGTGAGTCAGCGATGTGTCACATGTTGCGTGAGGCTTAATCGCAAAAAAGAGATCCGCAGCAAAATGTCCGCAAGTCGTTGCACGAACTAGGTGGCTGCACATGACAAACCACCATTGTTTTGGAAAAGTTCTGAATTGATAGATTTGTTCTGAGTGTGCATCAAATGGTATGTCATAACACATGACAGAAAAAAAGCACATTTACGATACTCATCATAGCGGAAATGACGACTCATTTGGGAAATGGGAATAGATTAACTCATTTGCTTCATTACACCTATAACACAAATACAGTGATGTGATTGACCTTATATTTGTAAAAGGCTGTTTTCATGCTTCTCCGTATTTCCGTCGATAATTTCATGCTGCTTGAAATTATGTAAGGAGTGTTTTGCCGTGTTCTTTCCCGCCGGTATCTGTTATGATATCCTATTATTGTCTGCGTTGTCAACGAAGTAGAGAATGCAAAATTTAAATGGGGTATATATGAATATGCATATTTAGTTAGATCCATCAGAAATACATGCTTCGCTCAAATAAAAACACACCTATTGTAAACGTCAGCGTTGCCGTTTTATCGCGCAGTTCATCTTTGGGGGAGGGGAGCAGCAATATAAGACGGGTGACTGAGTATGAGAAAAGATGAATGCCACTCTCAAAATTATCTTCAATACTGCTCTCTCCCCGAAATTGGGTTACTTTCTCGTCATAGCTGGCGGGTTGGATCCTCTCTCAAAAAGGAAATATGAATGGGAAACTACAACACTGACCTCGAAATTGTCGATAAGAAAACGACCTCAAGTGATCATCACTCCACATGTCAATCAAATTTGACGTAGCAAAGACTCATGGTTAAAACATGGCATCTGCAAACGTTTTTGCACGCATCTTCAGGACGATTACACCGAAGGGGATCTCGATCAATCTCCGCTCTTGACTGTCCCGCCTAGACCCATCTCCGGCAGTGACCGCCTCATCCATGCTGACTGATAACCCACTGCATCAAGCAGCGGAAGCGATCTCCCATCAGCACAGCCGAACCGTAATCACGGTCCATCTTCAGCGCGACCCGGGGCGGCCGCGGCGCCCGCTCAGCTGGCCTGGGTCCGCCCCCTGGTGACGTCACAGCGTCAGCTGGCGGCGCCGCCGGCCGGCGCGCGGGCGCTCCAAGTTGCGCGCCGAGCCGGGCGGCGCCGAGTCGTGCGCGCGAGCGCCCAGTGCCAAACGGCGCGTCGAACGTCGCAGGGCTCCGTCGGCGGCGACGTTGGTCGGAGAGTCGGCATCGACTGCGCGCGCCTGTGACTGCCGATTGCGGCGCGGGGTCGCGCCGGGCGCCGCTGCGTGGTGCGGCGCGAGGTCGGGTCGGGTCAGGTCGTGTCGCCTCGGGGTCCGCGCCGTCGCGGGCGCGGGCGAAGTGTCGGTCGGCGCCGGCGCGCAGCGGTGCGTCTCCGTCGGACGCGTGTGTGTCGTCCGGCCGCCGCCGCGTGCGCCCCGTGGCATGCCGCGGCGCTGAGCGCGCCGAGACAATGCTCTCGTTCATGCTGCCCAATGAGGAGAAGGGCTTCAACCTGAACGCGGTGGCGCAGAATGAGGCGGTGTTCCAGGTCACCAACGGCCACAGCGAGGTCAAGACCGAGCTGAGCGGCGACCCGGCCGCGCCGCCGGCTGGCCCGGCTCGCGGCTCGCCCAACAACAACAGCCACCCGGTGCTGGAGACGCCTCTCATCAGTGCCAGTTTGGACAACATGCCGCCGCCGCAGCCGCCGCCGCCGCCGGCGGCCACCGCCCCGCTGCTTAGTCGCGACCTCTCCCTCATGGAGGACTCGTACAGCGACGACGCGGCCACAGAGTCGACGCTGCTGCTGCGCGCCGACGAGCGCGCCGACGAGGTCATGACCCCGAGCACGGAGAACACGCGCTCCTCGCCGTGCGGCGACGAGAAGCCGCTGCTGCCCGTCACCACCGTCTCTGGCAAGACCGGCAAGCTCAAAAGGTCAGTGGCTGCGTCTGCTTTCCCCGGCGTACCCCGCACGGTTCCCCGGGGTGCCCGCGCTGCACTCGCGGCGCACCCTGTGGTGCACCCCGCGGCGCGCCATGCGCCGTGCCCTGCGGTGTCCGCCGGTCGCCGGCGGCCCTCTGTTTATATGCGGGAGGCGGGCCGCCCCCTCCCCGAGCAGCACGGTGGCCGTATCGGCGCCGCGAATCGCCTCGGCACGTGCTAAAAATACGTCCGCCAGATACGGCGTCACTCAGTGTATCTGCCAGTGTATCTGTCAGACGAGGTGACGTGGAGAATGGAGCGGCCTGGGGCTGTCACTGCGGCGCCCGTGGCTCGGCCTCAGCAGTCGTGGAAGACGTCGGAGTCGCGGCGCCTCGAGCCATGACCGAGCCGGACAGCTGGTGGCGTGCTTTGGGCCTCATTTGGTCGGAAGCCTCGCGGCCTAAACGTGCGTGGGGACGAGAATGAGGCTCTGGTGCGGTGTTTTGGTGTGCGTAATGGGCTGCGATGCCGATGTAGGACCACTCTTGCCCGATGCAGCACCGTGCGTGTTTCTTCGCATTATCGCCAACCTTTGTCATGCGACTGTGGCGGGACGCATTGGCAGCCGCCCGAGAAGACCGCCACGCTTTACACCACACGCCTACACTCAAAGGCGAGGACTGATCAGAGGATCAGATCGCACGGACTACGGCTGCAGTCCGACGAGCGGTGGACACGCCTCCCGTCGTTTCGTCGTAACGGACGCGTGTTCACCGCTTCATGCGTCGTCCACCATACGCACATCTACTCCAGCTACAACAACGGCAACTCGGCGGCCTCGGTACTCGCCCCAAGTCGCCCGGCGGTAGTGGAACACCACGTCAACAATGGGATCTGCTTCCAGGCCTGTGCGACACTCGCTGCCATGGCCTTGGATCCAGAACCGGTCGGGCGCCGCGCGGCGGGCGGTGGCGAACATGTCCAGAGCACTGGCGCGTTTCTGCACTGCGAGATCCGCAGCAGGATATCGGCCATCAGGTGGTCGGTTTGAGATCACTGTCGTCGCGTCTATCTATCTCCCCTTCCCCGTCGAAAAACAAGCGAAGGTTAGGAAAGGAATTGGGAGACAGTGAGACCAATACGACAGACAGGCACGATGGGCGCTGACCCGTGGTAACAGCACCCGCTGTGGACACGTCTGGCAAATTACACCTCAAAAGCTCGATAAATAAAACCAATATCGCAAGATGCTCACGCCCGTCACCTTCGACGGCGTCAATCAACAGTCATCCGTCATGATCGCGCTTCCTTCCAAGACGACCCCGTTCCCCCTCCTGTCCTCCCACCACTAGCCAGCTCTGACGACAGTGCCCACGTGATCGCTGCCGCGTGCCAGCGCCGGTCATCAACGGCGGCTTTTTGTGTGGCTCACCGCGGCAAAAACGCGTTCCGGTGCGGCAAAAAGACCGCCGCCCGAGGCTAATTGATTGTTCGCCTTAGCGCCGGTCACTGAGAGGCTTGGGGACACTTTGTGGTTGTCGCTTTGCGTCGTGAACCCCGCCTCTGAGCCGTCCGAACGTCAGAGGTTTTGGTGAAAAGGGTGGGGGGCTGTCTTGATGGGACGGCATCAGGCGATCCGCAAGGCGATTCGACTCACACTAAATCCGTTAGCACGGAAGGCAGGTGGTTTGCCGCGCGTGCCATCACTTTCTGTGAAGCGAGCATGGATGTCGTCATCGTGGGTTCCTCGCACCAACTCAAGGGGCGCTGCATGACCATGGGAGCCCAGACGCTCCAAAACCACGATATGATGGGTTTGTTTTTGTGTATTTTGGTTTGGGTTGATTATTTTATCACCATCGCGCCGAACCAATAGGGTGACCAAACAGTCGACGCAGTCCGGACAAAAAAGCTTGCAGCGACACGCGCCAAATTTCGATCGATGACTGATATCACGTTCGTGGATCTAATAATTACCAGTGTCGGCAGAGGGCCGGGGGGTTTTAATTCGTTTCGTCACACAACTCCACGTGGACAAGCATGCATGTACTAAGTTCCCAAAGTTGGTAATCCAACTGGGCCTGCCCGCCCCGCGCTCTGCCGCTCCTGCAAGCTGCCCCAGTCGGCGGGCAGCGAAGGCCAGCCAGCTTTCCGCGGCGGCGGGCCCTCCGCAACCTGACCAGCGTCGGCTCTCGCTGGTTCGCGCGCACCCGACGCCGGTCGACAGGACCAGAGCCAAATCGATGGGCGCGCTGCGTCGGTCTGGCCGGCTGCCAGTCGGGAGCATTACCAGCCGCAGTTGTGACTATTGCCGCGTGATTAGAGCCGCTGGCTCCGCCGGCTGTGTGCTGACGGCCTCGAGACTCGCCATCTGTGCGCGGTGCTGGCTGAAGGTCAGACGGGTCGTCTTCCGACGACATTGCACTGTCCGTCCCGGCCCCGATGGCCAGGTCATCCTCGATGGTTAGAGCTTGGCCAGGCTCTGTTTGATTCATCCAAGACTCGGTCTACTTCATTCAAAGCCTAACCAAACTGTGACCACTTGCTTATCGTGTTCGAGATCAGGGGCGCAGCCAGGATTTTCTTAACGGAGAGGCCCGGGGCCCGGTGAGCACGCGCCGCACCGATTTTTTTTTACTTTCTGTCGAGTGCCATCTATGGTGAGAAAAACAAAAACAAACAAACTCAAAAGGGGGTCGGGGGGTCGGGCCCCCTCCCTACGCTGCACTCTTGTCCCAGGCTTGTGCTAGACAGTTCGTTCATGCTACAGTTCGTGCTAGACTCAGCTCTGCCTTGACATCATGCATGCAAGAACCTGGTGAGGTCAGCCGGCCCAGTAAGTTCCAGCACCTAACGGTACAACAACAAAACAGGCTCACTTGTTGTGGGTGCTCGAGGACCGCGCTTGATCCAGATCATCCAGATGTTTGGACAGAATCGCGGTGAACGCACCAAATTCTCGCTGATGTTTTAGTTACACTGTTGTCATGAGCGCTCGGTTTCCCAGACGCCCAACGCAGCTCAGTTTCGCGTTGATAGCCACCACTTACTCTGCCCTGCAGACGCCGTTTCAGAGTTGTGCGGTACGATATATGTAACTGGTGCAGCGCAGCGTGCGGTAGCTGGTTGCGTATTGTGCTCAAATGACGCCGTTAACTTTCTAGCTGTGCACGACTTCACATCATGGGTGTGACTATGACGTAAACAAGAGTGACTGTAACCATCTCCTGCCGCATCGGATTTCTCAGGTTATTTCCATTTTCCTTGTTTGGGAGGTTCAGCATAGCGTCGAAAAGCCAGAAACGAGGAAGGAGCTAAGTTGATGGGCAGAGGGGAGGGGGGGGGGGGGCAAGGCGACTTTTGCGTTGCTATTGAGACACCCAAGAAAAAGACATGCGTTCCAAGCGAGCGTTCGGAAGCCACGCTCCGTAACCCAGACGCTACCGCTGGCGGCGCCCCTGCCGGGGGCCACCCAATGCCCTAGTGACCCGAGAAGGTCGGTTTAAATCCCGCGCCGCCCCCGGCGCCGCGCGGTACCAAAATAAACAGGTGGCCATCTGGCTGGGCCGTCAGTGGGCCGGCACCTCTCGGCGCCCGCTGCCAGCGCCGCCGGGAGGCGTCGGCAGCCGGCTCTCGCCACGTTTTTGCAGCGGATTCTGGCGGGCGATGAGACGCTAATGAGGCTGATCAGGTGGGCCTGAGCGGGCCCGCCGCTGTGGGTGTTCTCCGCTGCACGGGTCCGGTCCCGGCGGCGGGGGCTGATCAGGTGGGCCTGAGCGGGCCTGCCGCTGTGGGTGTTCTCCGCTGCACGGGTCCGGTCCGGACGGCGGGGGCTGATCAGGTGGGCCTGAGCGGGCCCGCCGCTGTGGGTGTTCTCCGCTGCACGGGTCCGGTCCGGGCGGCGGGGGCTGATCAGGTGGGCCTGAGCGGGCCTGCCGCTGTGGGTGTTCTCCGCAGCACGGGTCCGGTCCGGACGGCGGGGGCTGATCAGGTGGGCCTGAGCGGGCCCGCCGCTGTGGGTGTTCTCCGCTGCACGGGTCCGGTCCGGGCGGCGGGGGCTGATCAGGTGGGCCTGAGCGGGCCCGCCGCTGTGGGTGTTCTCCGCTGCACGGGTCCGGTCCGGACGGCGGGGGCTGATCAGGTGGGCCTGAGCGGGCCCGCCTCTGTGGGTGCTCTCCCTCCGCTGCACGGGTCCGGTCCGGGCGGCGGAGGCTGATCAGGTGGGCCTGAGCGGGCCTGCCGCTGTGGGTGTTCTCCACTGCACGGGTCCGGTCCGGACGGCGGGGGCTGATCAGGTGGGCCTGAGCGGGCCTGCCGTTGTGGGTGTTCTCCGCTGCACGGGTCCGGTGCGGTCGGCCCTCGGACGGCGCTAGTTTGCCGTAGAGCCAGGGAGCCGTATTAAAGTAGTGATGGCGCCTGGTCGATGAACCGCGCTCGACTCTTACTCGAGCGATAGTCGATGCGTGAGTCAGCAAAATCGGGCTGAGTCAGGCTGAAGACGACTCTTTTGAGTGTGAGGTCAGGTTTGAGTCAAGAGCCGTGCGCAGCCAGAGTGAAGTCGACTCCAGCTGCAATGTGCATGCTGCCAATGGAATAAGGTGGCATACAGGTGACTTGAAATGGCAATGGTACAGGCAAATTGCTCAACGTTCACTGCCCAATATCAACACAGCGTACCTCACACAAGCTGATGACAGTTTTAGGCTTATGCTGATTGTTCACCGGTCACTGGTCACTGGTCATTGGTTGCTGCTTAATGCTGAACAATGTGAGAGGTGCTACAAGGCCAGCTCATGTGATGCGATGAGTTGGCCTTGAGTCAGAACCAGAGTCGGCTCGACTCCGTCTATTTTGGACAGCCAAGGCCACGTGCCGAGACGGCCTCTGCCTGAGGCCGGCTGGAGTCGGAGCTGTAGTCAACTTTGCACGCCGCGGGAAAAAGTCGGAATCGACTCTGCTCAGATGGAGTCGAGCTCATCAAGTCTGCTGCTCGAAACTGGATCGGGCTTGGA